GTCCACCTAGTGGGAGCCTAGGCCTGCCTGCCCATTCTATGTCTTCCGGCTCGTGGTCAACGTTCAAGAACTGTTCTACTCCTACGGTCATCAGCTGCAGTAGCTTTAGTAGGTACTTGGTATACTACAAGTATAAAACGTGCTTACTTCTAATGGTCTGCTCTCAGGTTAACAACGCTCAAGCCGCTCAACTTGTCTCCTCAAGCCTTCGCTTGGTCTTGAAATTGACTATTATCAGAGTAAATACAAATGAATAGGTCATCTTTATAGAAACGCACCTAGCGCGGTTTCGGCGCAACACCCCGCTAAATTTTGTCAGTGTGTGCGTGCGCGCCGCATACGTATTGGCGCGCTCACATACAAACCGCACTCGGTGCGTTTCTATGAAGATGACCTACTCATTTGTATTTACTCTGCTATTATTCTAGTTACAAAAAATACGAGCTCTATCACACTTTTATACCTAAAGGCGAAAGTTTGCGAGATGTTTGTTACTCCTTCACACAAAAACTACTAGGTACATGGATTTTGATGATACTTTACAGTATTATTGTTTATAACTCAGACTAACATACAGGCTATAGGTAATTTATGACGATCTGTGACAAGCTGAATGTCACGCGGGTGAAGGCGCGGGCAAATGCTAGTTTAATAATATAATTTTTAAACAAAATTTTCTACGGAACCTTCTTCGCAAGAGACCAGTTTTTATATTATTAGTGTTTTATGTTTGCTTACAAAGAAAAATTCCTGTGCGACTCATTATTATTATCGTTTGTTTCATAATGTTTATCAATGATTAAGATTATTTAAAATATACAAACTATAAAATAAATGACAGCCACCCGCCTCACTATGGAGCGAAATTGCGATTTATGAACATAGCGATTTTTTTCACAATTTCTATTTGAAAAAAATANCTGCCTACATTATTTTTCCGGTACTTGGCCGCCACTCGAGAATAGCACTATCTAGATATACTTAGTTCCCAACAATTTTACTAATTTCCTTACATGAGGTCCAAAAACAAGAAGAATTTGAACCTTGCGGTAGTAAAACAAAACTTACCTTGCTTTACAAACCTGGTGTCCAGTTGTACCAGGGCCAGGCTATTGTTGGTGCCGTTCTTGAAGTCTGGGTGGTAGACGTACTCCCGCACCGGGATGCGGGGCTTAGAGCAATTCTGACCCAACATAACTTTAGCCAGTTTTCTGCAAAGAAGCATTATTATAATCTATAATACCGCTCACTGATCACGAAATCTCAGAAACTATAACACCTAAAAACTTCCTTATAGGGTGTAGACATCCGATAAGAACGGGTTTTACGAAACTCAACCCCCAGGGGGGGTAAAACTTAAAACGGGGGTTAACTAAGTCCACGGCACACGCGGTGCCACGCCGCAACGCATCGTGTGCTTTGGCTCTTATACGAATGGAGTGAATGGAGCTAAAATGGTCACTCAGCGTACTCCCTGATCTCGGAGGACTCGCCCACTGAGGGTTCCGTACAAACCTGTACATACATACACATACCATACAGGGTGTTTCTTGTAAGGTGTCAAGCCGAAGGCAGGTGATAGGTGAGGACTAGACCTTTCGATTTCACCCCCATGTATGTTTAAGGTTTGATGAAAAAAAAAACTAAGTTTCAGATTCTAAAACCCCCAAAAATTTTTATTTTTATTTTTGTGTGTGTTTCTGAAAAAAGTGGCTGTGACATACGGACGGACAGACAGACATACAGACATGACGAATCTATAAGGGTTCCGTTTTTACCATTTAGCTACGGAACCTTCAAAAGAAGAAGAAGAAGTTTAAACTCCGTGTAGGTACCTACTCACCTGAAATTAATTTTAGGCATAGCATTGAGCTCCAGTGCCGAGGCGAGCACAAAGCTCCTGCTCACCAACACCACCGAAGTCACCAAATCTTTATCTCCTTGTATCGAAATAAGACATTCGTTATTAAATTAATAGAATAGACCAGAGTCGCTTCTCAAACTAAATTTTAAATAAACAACTTGAAAAAATCGGACTGCCTAAGGCGGGACACGAACCCACGACCTTCCACTTGCCGGGCGATTGCTCTTCCAACTGAGCTACTTAGACACTGGATGAATCTGTCGTTTTCAAGTGTAGTACGCTCTTATGGCCGCGATTGGTCGTGGGTTCGTGTCCCGCCTTAGGCAGTTCGATTTTTTCAAGTTGTTTATTTAAAATTTACATTTTCAATATATTCTATGGTGCGTATTTGAAGCACCACTATCATGATTTCACTCCTACAAACTAAACTAGCCTAGGTACTAAGGCAAAATTGATTGAAATAGATTTTATTATACCGAATGGGAACCTGGGCAGATAACTAGTCTACTGTATACTGTTTCTATTTCTAACTATTCCTTCGAAACTCATGGGATTTGAAGTCATTCTTACCCATCGGATAGTATAGATTGCCAAGCCAAGGATAATCCTCTATGGCCGCTGTGCCTTCATAGTTGTCACGTTCTGGGACGTTACTGATCCCACAGTGCAAATCCTTAGCTTTAAACAAAAGAAAAATCTTTAGGGTGCAAGAAAGTACGCAATACACTAAGCGCAAAAAGTAACTAACTACACCGATTTGAAAAATTCTTTGACCATTAGATTTCCTTTCTATGAATGAACAAGGCAATTAAATGGCTGTGTTTTAGCCGAAAATATTAGCCAAAAAATGTTATTAATCAAAAAATAGCGATCGCCATGGCAACTGCTGAAACTTTAGCATGTTTTCGGCGAGGACACGTTTGCTGAACATCAAAAGTGACGTTTTTCCATACATTTTTTGACAGTGACAGCATGTACTTCTAAAAGGCTGCAATTTTTTGTTACTAGCGCTATTTTCTGCCAAACTATCATAACTAGCGCTATGTTTTTTTTTGTTAAATACCTATAACTACCTCTAAAGTGAAATAAAGATAGACTCACCATTGATTTTTGTAGTCAATAAGTTCACGATGATTATTGATATCAGCATGATGACAAGTCATTCAAACATCATCTTTGAATAGTCTGAAAAATAATATTATGAAAAGTACGCCGATACATTACACCGATGACTCCCCTCGGTGTGCCTCGGTACTTAATTGTTAAATAACCCTTCCATTTTAAAATACCTTGTTAAATTAATTAACTCATAATAATAATGATAATGATTACTAATATTAGCATTTAAGGTGTGTGTTTACCTACTAACCACATTATGAACTATGAGTTGTTCGAAATAAATACTTATTATTTGTTTTCTATACTTATAATAAATCTGTAGAGAGGTCAATTCTGTACATTAAATATATTTTCAAAATAACTATCAGGGGGTGATTAGTGACCGATACTGATGCCAAAAATGCAATCAGTAAAATTTTTGTCTGTCTGTCTGTCTCTGNGAGCGCGCTTTACACAAAAACGCAGTTGCGTTCCGTTACGTTTCAACTTCGTTTAAACTAGCTGTCAAAGCGACACCGCGATATGAATTTGCGCAAACAGCTGATTTTCGTTCGTCGTCCAGTCCAGTTGCGTTGCAGTTGAAAATATTTACATAATATTATATTATACTTAGGGGGCGTCCATTAAGTGCGTGAGACTTTTTTTGTCAACAAAAACCTCACTAAATCTCACGTGGGGGAGAGTGGGAGTCTCAGGAAATATAACGTAATTTTTACTGCAAGAAATAGGGTTTTCCCAGAAAACGTCAGTAAAAAAAATATTTTTTATTATGTACTACCCTACCATTTACCAACTATCAAACCACACATGTAATGCAATAAATGATTTGATTTGATTTGAGTTGATAATAATGACATTTTATTCTATACCGTCTCTAACTCGCACCACAACTCGCACTAAGAAAAAATCTTTCTCAGTTAAATTACTCCAGAACTACAAATCTTTCAGATTTTTTTTTAATCACGTGAGATTAGGTGTTGGGGGAGGGGGTCAGGCAAAATCTCACCAAATCTCTCCAAGGGGGGAAGGGGGGTACAAAAATATCCATAATAGACATGTTGACACCACAATCAATTGACGTACTTTTTAAAACTGTCAAAACGAAACTCTCCCATAGATTTTGTATGGCACTACAAGCAAGTGACGTCACTATTTTGTCAACCCAATTAAACTACTTTTTTCAGTTACAATTCGAACAAAAATCGTAATTTACAGGTAATTTAAAATAAATTAGGTTTTTAAGACCAGAATGAAGAGTCTTTATTAAAACAGTTGTGGTTTCGAATTATTGGGGTGTCAAACTGTCTATTGTCTCACGTCATTAACGGACACCCCCTTACCAGGCCTGGCTCACTTCGCGCGGTACATCCGATAAATACCTACAGCGAAGCGCTCCGCCGGCGGGTATTATATCAGTCGAGTGTCACGCGCGCGCCCGTCAGGACGCTGGCGTGCGTTGTAGTAGGTACCTAATTCTATGATCGAAGTATTATTTAAAAATGGACATAAAGAGAAATAAATATTGTGCGGCGTTCGGGTGTTTAAATTCGAAAAGAAATCTACCGGATTTATCTTTTTTTTCGCTTCCCAAAGATGCTGAAAGGTATGTTTGCCATGTAGGTAATCAATAATTCTTAGGATAGTATAGGAACCTAACCTACCATGACTACTGCTCAGAATGCGTTCTTTCGTTTCAGCCAAATGACGTCCACTGCTGGACAAAGGCCTTTCCCAAGGTTTTCCATAACGAATGCGTACTTACCTACATACGTACCTCATTACATATAAGTAGATTAATTTATTTGTTCACTAGACAGCAACCCTAACAGCGTAAGAAGAGTTCAGAGGCACGCGATAGAAAGAGACAAAACTTGTAGTTGAATAAACTACTACAGGTACGTAGTGCTGTGCGAGCTGAATTCCATTGTATCGCGTCGTAGCAAGACTCGCATTTATTTAAATCGTCTTGCGGAGTAATCCTTCTGTACCTGTACTATTACTTATTCTGTGCCCTTACCTCGGTAGGCGTAGCAGGCGGGCCCGTAGGACTCGCGGACGCAGGTGTGGCGAACCTTCATCTCCGATACAGCCGACGCGTTCACCAGCTCCAGGGTCAGGCAGGAGTACTCCACATTTTCGTACACGCTCATCTAGAAGTAAAACGGACTACGCTCGCTTTGACTCAAATTATTACAAAACTATAATCCAGGCCTCTTCAAGGCGAGAGTGAATAGGCACTTACAGGGCAGATATTTATGTACCATCCTAGACTGCATCCCACTTAACATCAGGTGCGATTGTGGTCAAATACCTGCCTTGTTATGCATAAAAAAAAATATTGGATAGCGCATCTCGTAGAGCTGATGGCCGCTGGGGCGGGAAAGTTCTTGAGTGGCGACCACGAGCCGGAAGACGTAGCATGGGCAGGCCTCCCACTAGGTGGACCGACGATCTGGTGAAGGTCGCGGGAGGCACCTGGATGCGAGCGGCGCAGGACCGGTCTTTATGGAAATCCTTGAGGTAGGCCTTCGTCCAGCAGTGAACGTCTTTTGGCTGAAACGAACGATTATTGGATAGAGACGTAAGTGGAGCGGAGTGTTTTGAATAACCAATCAGATTTCGTTATTTCCACTTCTCCTCTCCGCTAAGCACAGCTTATAGAAAAATTTGACGGCCCGACACTTCTCTGCTCTACTCCACCTTTGTGGAAACCGGACCTAAAGGTCAGCACACCGAGGCGGGAAGGCAGGAAAGCTATAGGTAAGGCCCGGCAGACTGGATTCATCATCATCATCTCAGCCATAGGATGTCCACTGCTGAACATAGGCATCCCCCAATGCTTTCCATGTTGCCCGGTTGACAGCGGCCTGCGTCCAGCGCCTTCCTGCTACCAAAATCAAAATCAAAATCAACCTTACCTTTACTCGTATGATGTCGTCGGTCCACCTTGTGGGTGGAGGTCCCTGCGTTTTCTGGTACGCGGTCTCCATCGTCATCGGCGGATTCATTCATCCGTCACTGCCAATTAATTAGTAACTGCTACCAAGTGTTACATCGTTATCGAATGACGTGAAGTAGTGACCCGATTTATTTTCACCGAAAATAGCAATTTTTTTGTACTATCGGCAAAATCGGAATTAATTATTTTTTCCAAGCTTAGCACAAATTTTCTGAACGTGTGCCATGGAGCTTATCTCAGTATCAAATGACGTAGGGTTTCTTGCGGTCCCCTCTCGGACTAAAGCACGGTCTGTGAGCACGTAGAATTTTGTCCAATGACCCCAAGCTACCCTGCGGGCGTCGGTCGCACAGTCGCGACAGCAATATAATTACGCGCGAGCGGTAAGATGGGTAGCTTGGGGTCATTGGACAAAATTCTACGTGCTCACAGACCGGGCTTTATAAGAAGTTGTGTCGAGGTTGAATACGAACGTTGTAGGTCATGAACTGGTACTGGTCGTTGTCTGTGCGCAGGACGATGACCTCGCGGTACACCAGATTGATTTTCTCCTCGGGGTCGCACGCGCCGAAGCGCTGGTAGGCGCCGCTGCCCGCGCCTGCAAGCGATCATTGGTGGTCATCACCATTGGGGACATTAATCCGACGCGGTGATGGCGACGACCCGTGCGTGTATAATTATTTGGAACAAATAAACTAATACTACCAAGCACGACAGGATTTTTTATTTTGGTACGTAGCAATAATATGAAGGCAGGCATCCGCTGTCATATAGTGCGTTTCAGTCCTGGATCTGTCAAAAGGCCGTATAGGCCGCGTCCTAGGGGTGGCAGATTTCATATGACGCTTACTCGATTTCAGAAGATAAAAGTTAAAGATCCAACCCCACCCTATAGCCTACGGGCGGCAAAACTGTAAATCCGCCACTGGGTGCGTTTGTCGCGCTGTTAGAAAGTCGCCTTAGTGTAAAAGCGCTCTACAAAAAGTCGCCGTGGGCAACAGTCCGGCAAGCGAACTCACTTCTGAGCACGAACTTGTGCTGGTTGATCTTGGAGATGGTGAGCCGCCGGAACTTGCCGAGGCTGGCCACGACCCAGGGCCAGTACGTCATCATGTCCAGGTAGCGGCCCGGCGCGCCGCAGCCCGGCCCGTTCAGACCCACCCCCAGCTGAAACCAAGGCTTAGTGTGAGTTTACATCAAAAATCCTCACTAGTGAGCGCGTTAAAAAATGAAATAATATATGAAAATTTAAGTTCTTAAAAGTCAAACATTTAATGTCATTTTTTACGCGCTAACTATAGTCTGGTCTGCGAGCACGTAGAATTTTGTTGTTGGGCAATAATTAGAAGTAGTTTCCTCATCAGCCAGATAGTTTTGACAGTTCCAACTCCTTGCCAGACAGTATTTTTAGGATAGCCACGATGACCCAAACTTCATGATTCACCAACATTCTAACCTATCTTGGGAGCATACACTGACAAACTTTGAGCTTTTATAAAATGACGTAGGTCTGGCGTTCACTAGCCCTTAGTCTATTATACCAGAGTAAATACAAATGAGTAGGTCATCTTCATAGAAACGCCCGAGCGCAGTTTGTATGTGAGTGCGCCAATACGTACTATGCGGCGCGCACGCACACACTGACAAAATTTTGCGTTGATTAGCGGTGAGTTGCCCCAAATTTTGTCAGTGTGTGCGTGCGCGCCGCATACGTATATTGGCGCGCTCACATACAAACCGCGCTCGGTGCGTTTCTATGAAGATGAGATACTCACTTGTATTTACTCTGTCCATAACATCCCAGCTATAAACTACTTATACTGACCAGTTGCCAGCGGCCCCAGTGGTCGCGCGCAACCAGCACGTGGCCGGCCTCCCACACACAGATCTTCATGCCGCCGTCCTCCAGCGCACACGTCACGTGCGCCGGACGCATCTTGTCCAAGTCCAACTGCGACCATGGACAAAATCTAAAATACCTTTATTTCGATAGGTACGGCGGACTAACGCCCGTATTCACAAACATTACTATGAGGTCACACAGTGTGCGTGGACGCATAGGGTGACATGCGAACCAATCACAGAGCTCTATTCAACGCTGTGCGTTCCATTTGCTGCTTCACTTAAGCAAGCATCGTTTGTGAATACGGGCGTAAGTCGCTGACATAGCCCGACGGATTAGCAAACTGAAGTGGCAATGGGCAGGGCACATAGTACGCAGAACTGACGGCCGATGGGGCAGCAAGGTTCTGGAGTGGAGGCCGCGTACCGAAAAACGCAGCGTGGGACTTTTTTTTTTATGCTAGACAAGGCAGGTATTTGACCGCAATCGCACCTGGTGTTAAGTGAGATGCAGTCTAGGATGGTACATATCTGCCCTGTATGTGCGTCCACCTACAAGGTGGACCGACGACATCGTAAAGGTAGCAGGGAGGCGCTGGACGCAGGCCGCTACCAATCGATCAACGTGGAAAGCATTAGGGGAGGTCTATGTTCAGCAGTAGACGTCCTATGGCTGAAATGATGATGATGATGAAGGTACGGACTACCCACGAGGTGGACCGACGTCATCACAAAGGTAGCAGGAAGGCGCTGAACGCAGGCCGCTACCAACCGGTCAGCGTGGAAAGCATTGGGGGAGGCCTATGTTCAGCAGTGGACGTCCTATGGCTGAGATGATGATGATGATGGTAGCGGCCTGCATCCAGCGCCTTCCTGCTACCTTAATGATGTCGTCGGTCCACCTTGTGGCCTCATAAAGAAGCTCAAAGTTGCTATGAACTAAATTAGTCGTAAAATTTAGCTCTACCCGCAGTGTTTCGAGAAAACATTTGTAAAATCGCAAACTAGTCGAAAAGTGGTCGAAAGGTCTTTTTTTGTATGGAGTTTTGACGGATTCGATTTTCGATTCGATCAAAAAGTGCAACTTGTCTAGGGGGGCTGCCCCAAGAGTTTCCACAGCCATCTTTGCTTCTTTTTGTGGGCTAAGATTAAGTACTTATTGGTGACTAGAACTTATGGGTGAATGATGTCCTCTTATTCAGCCAGGTATAACTGCGAGGACGAATGACGTCATTTGACCGAAACGATGATAACCGCGAGGTGGTATGCCCAAGGGAAGGTGTAAGGATGTCTCTGGTAGCCTTATTCTCTGACGCTGTCACACCCCTTTTTCCCAATGAGTTAATTAACAACTGTACTCTCCATAAACTAAAAACATTATTCTTTAAGCTACTTGCTNTGTTATTCCAAATAAATAAAATAAAATAAATAAATAAATAACCTACACAATGTCGTCAGACACAGTCGCGCGTTTGCATCGATACAGTCGCGCTGCTGTAGCGCGTTAGTAACGCGTTGGCATCGCTTCTGTAGCGCGATGCAAATGCGACTAACGCGCGTTAGTAGCGTTGCTGTCGTTCGTCAACGAAACGCGCGACAGCATCACTAAGGCCGCTTTCACATTAGGGCGTGAGAAGCGCGAAAGCAGCGTGGCAGCGTCGTTTTTATTTTATTTATTTATTTAATTAAAATGCAAGTGAGCTTACAGATAGATCCAAAGCGCTCACATTGGCAATTTGAAATTAACATTTAATATTAGTAAGTAGGTACTTATATGTATTTATGGTTAGCAGACAAAATCAATCTTAGTTTACTTACTTTTTTAGTGCGTTTCAGTCCTGGATCTGTCAATAAGCCGTATAGGCCGCGGCCTAGGAGCGGCAGCGTCCTAGGGGCGGCAGATTTCAGATGACGCTTACTCGATTTCAGAAGATAAAAGTTAAATAAAGATCCAACCCCACCCTAGCCTACGGGCGGCAAAACTGTAAATCCGCCACTGGTGCGTTTGTCGCGCTGTTAGAAAGGCGCTTTAGTGTAAAAACGCTCTACAAAAAGTCACCGTAAGCAACAGTCCTTACGGCAAGCGAACTTACTTCTGAGCACGAACTTGTGCTGGTTGATCTTGGAGATGGTGAGCCGCCGGAACTTGCCGAGGCTGGCCACGACCCAGGGCCAGTACGTCATCATGTCCAGGTAGCGGCCCGGCGCGCCGCAGCCCGGCCCGTTCAGACCCACCCCCAGCTGAAACCAGAAGGCTTAATGTGAGTTTACATCAAACGTCCTCATTCATGTATTGGATTAAAAAATAGGCTGACAAAGTTGACTGAGTTTCTTCCGCCACTTCTCAGCACCCAGCCTCACGCCCGTATTCACAAACATTACTATGAAGTCTCACAGTGCAGTGATTTTCAATGCGACGACTTTTGAACGTCAGCGAGATTTTGACTGTCAAAATACGTGAATTAAGCTACCCATATTATGTTGTCCCGAAGTGGTGGTAGGGCAAGCTATATATTTGTGTTCTGGAAAGGGTTTTCTTCTTCTTATTCGTTTCGCTCTTGGCAGAGCGGTCGTGGTTGTCGTTGTTCACATCAGTTGTAGAGGCGGATACAACTCTCCGCACGATCTCCCGCCATCTCTCTCTGTTGGCAGACTGTCTGGTGCAGTCACATTTGCCGTCTCCCTCTGCTGATTTCTCTTGGTCGGTCCAGCGCATCGGTGACCTGTCACGCGAACGGGTTCCTTCGACTTTTCCTTGGACGACCCGTCGTTCTATGGAGTATTGGAGTTGTCATCCCGCCTTGAGACATGTCCAAAGTATTGCAATATGCGCAACTGTACTACGGTTGATAAACGCTGAGTGACACCGAGCTCCTGGTTGGAGTATGGACTCATTGGAAAAGGCATATGTACTGTGCTAAACAGACTATAAACTACTTAGGCGGGTTTTAGAATCGCGCTGACCGCTCGATGATCGTCGGCGCTGACAGATCAATATGTTTGTAATTGAAGGGAACGTTCTTGAGTGACGCTGATCGCTCGGCGCCGACTCTTCATACATTTCGGCTGTCAGCGCTGACGGTCAGCGTGCGTCAGCGTGACTCTAAAACCAGCCTTATACTGACCAGTTGCCAGCGGCCCCAGTGGTCGCGCGCAACCAGTACGTGGCCGGCCTCCCACACACAGATCTTCATGCCGCCGTCCTCCAGCGCACACGTCACGTGCGCCGGACGCATCTTGTCCAAGTCCAACTGCGACCATGGACAAATTCTAAATACCTTTATTTAGGTATGGACTACAACGAGGTGGACCGACGACATCATTAAGGTACGGGACTATTCCCTCGTTCCCACCACTGCAACTCCTGTGTAGCCAGGATCTACAGCTTGACCGCCACAAAAACCCAACCAATGAAGGCCAAGTTTGTCGCGGGGAAAAGTTAAACTGTTAATGATGTCGTCGGTCCACCTTGTGGCCTCATAAAGAAGCTCAAAGTTGCTATGAACTAAATTAGTCGTAAAATTTAGCTCTACCGCAGTGTTTCGAGAAAACATTTGTAAAATCGCAAACTAGTCGAAAAATGGTCGAAATGTCTTTTTTTTTGTATGGAGTTTTGACGGATTTGATTTTCTATTCGATCAAAAAGTGCAACTTGTCTAGGGGGGCTGCCCCAAGAGTTTCCACAACAGCCATCTTTGCTTCTTTTTGTGGGCTAAGATTTAGTACCTAGAACTTATGGGTGAATAATGGCAATTCTGCACATGTGCATGTGGATTGAGTGATCCTTGCTTCAATCTAAACAAAAATCGAGGAAGTTTTACTTAAAATATGTTAAAACATTGCGATGAAGTTTAAAAATTTGTTAAACCTAAGATAAAAATGTTATGGCCAATAAATAGGAGCACTCATACCGCACGCTTTAAGAAAACGTCAACATGTTTATTTCAGAAAATAAAGCCTTTCCACTTCTTTTTATAGTATAGAAAAATTGTTAAGAATTTGTTATAACTATTAACAAATTCAGAAATTCCTTACACTTCCCGTTCCAAAGTTATGACGATTATTTAGGATCACTCACACCGCACACGGGCCGTACGAGTGCTCTTCAAAATAATGACTTTTTATTAATAAATACGTTTTATTTCTGTTGGGAAATGTGTGCAAACTGACGAGCGAATTTGTTAAAGAATAAGTGTGACAAAACTTAAAAGCTGAAGGAAGAAATTAACCTTTATTCTTTCCTCCAATATGCCGTGTGAGTGATCCTTACTTTTACCTCTATCTGCTCATAGGTGTGAAGTTCAGGAAGGGTGGCAGCAGGATTGCTACCGCAGGTTCGGGATGAGTATCTCATGCACTACTCGGTAAGGACGAGAACCGGTTGGCTATCAACGATAGAACGTCTCGACACGACGCTTTATGGCAAGCCGCGGATTAATGACGAGGTATCGGATCAAGCCAGAGTCGAACAGTTAGGGTTAGTAGGGAACAATGTGGATAGCTATTCGCTAGGGACTCTTTGCAATGCAGCCGAGGGAATAATAGACGCGCGCGCGAACGTCTGGCTGTTACAATGGCTCCCGAGCGAATGCTAGGCGCCCGCGGTCGCCGCCGTCTCTTATATTAGCTCGGTCCGTGCGGCGTGCGGCCGCGCAGCCGTAGGGTTGTCAAAATCTCCGTGCTCGGTGCTAGGGCTGTCGATGCGTCGCGGGGCGCGTCACATCCTCCCTTGTTTTGGAGATTTTTACCTGGAAAAATCACAAGTCTGGTACATAAAGGTTCTTCGAGAACAACTAAAATTCATGTTAATAATAAGTTATTTTTGGGTAACTTCATAACGAGTAAAAATTAAAATATAAAACATGACTGAACTTGTGTTTGATCATTAGCCCAATAATAACTCTTTGTTTAAAACATGACAGTACATTTATTTACTTATAACAATATTAGCTAACTTGGTCTTGAAACAATGTTATTAAGGTACCTTTGACCTTTTGTTTACAATTAACCAATGAACTAATTAAACGAGTTGTTTACTTTGTTATTACGAGTATTCAATTATTACTTGAAATATTTATTTAATACAAAAATAGT